AAACAATATATATCATGCAAATTTTATTTCTTTTTAAACTATAGATTTGTATTTATCAACTAGATTATTAAAATCAATATATATCAACTTTGTTCTTCAATATTAATGATAAATGTGTAAAAACTTTTTAGTTCAAATAGATTTAGGTTTACATACCCAAATCGTCAAAGATTATAAGATTTTATATTTATATAATAAGCGTTTGTGTTCTCTTAATCTTCTCATCAAACAATTTTCAATTTCGATAATATTTTTGACGAAGTTTATTTCAACTTTTTCATTATAAAATAACCTCAATTATCTTTTTATTCGATAGGTGAGATAGATTACGACGATCTACTTGTAGTATGTTCTTTCGCTTCTTGCAAATTGCAAGCTAAAGTTTTGTGCATCATTCCCTTCTTGCAAAATTTGGGAATCAATTATGTGAAAGAAATCTTATTAAAATTTACAATTTTAGTTTGCAACTAAAAATATGAGTAATTCGTCAAATTTTTGGAAAAATAGTTATATATGTAGATATATAAGAAATAACCTAATTCAATTAGGAATAGAAAAAAAACTAATTATTGGAAAACATTTGACAAATTTAAATTGAAAAAATAATATACTAGAAAGAGTCAAAACAACTTAATAACGGTGAGACTTTTTTATTAGTGGTCCTGCACTTTTTTTCCGCATGTTATAAACATTTATAAACCTAAAAAATTCAATTAGAAAAATGAGTAATTAATTCAAATTTTTTAAAAAAAATAGAGTAGTGGTCAAGTGCAAGACCATACAATTGCCCCTTTTTAAAAGAGGTTTCAATTTACAACTTCAAATTCTTCAGTTAATCCATATTCTAAAGGGTCATTTGCAAGAATAACCCAAAAAAATTAATAATTCATTAAGTAACTAAAATGAGCATATGTTGCTTAATGGAATACACTAAAATTAGGGCAAATGGTTATAGTTTGAATTATAATTCCTTTGTTGTTATTTAGCCAAATTTCCCTATTCTAAAATATACTTAACC